ATAGATAGATAGATAGATAGATAGATAGATAGATAGATAGATAGGGAGGGAGGGAGAGAGAGAGCGAGAGATAGAGAGAAAGAGAGAGAGAGCTAGAGAGAGAGAAAGAGAGAGAGAAAGAGAGAGAGAGAGAGAGAGAGAGAGAGAGAGAGAGAGAGATTCCCAATGATATTGCGTTGCTTTCATGTGGAATTGTCTTTGCCACTGTGTAGGCAATCTGGAAAACAATGTATGAATTAATGTTAATTTAACGCCTGAAAATAATAATTCTAGCAACACTACTTGAGTTTCGCAACTTTTAGCCGTTTTGGCTGCAATGTCTTATTTTTCTTCTTCTTTTGTAGAAATGCCACAGCTGGCACACTAAATTAAAAGTGGGAGAGTCCACAATCTGTGAATGTGGACACAACCAAGAGGATGCCAACTATATCCTTCAGCTCTGCCCGCGCTACGCCACCCTTCGTACACAGACGTGGCAGAATGTGACTCCTCTTGAGAGAAAGCTCAATGGCAGTCTTTCAGATTTTTTAGATTTTTTTTCTGGTAAGTGTTTTACTGCGCTCGCAAACGCATAAGGTCATGGACACACCTACCATTTTCAGCTGGTAGGAAATTTTGAATTTTGCCCGGGTGGCGGACGAAGCCTACTCTTATCGATTTTAGACCATCATGCAAAGGATCTTGCACAACTTGTCACTGACCCTCCGAGATTGTTTCGCCCTTCTCCGAGAAGGCTAAGTGCAGATCCTTCCTACCCGAAAATCTGGGGTTTGGCTGAAAGACAGCAGTAAGAAAGAGCCAAAGAGTAGCAGTAGAAAGGCCGCAGAAAGAGTCAGGAGCCCAGAGGGGGTGGGAAAAGTTGGTGAGGGGGTGGGGGCAGAACGTGGAGACGAAAGCAGACGGCAGAATATTGCGAGAGAGCAGGAAAGGAGGTGAAAGGAGAACATTTTAGAAAATAAAATGTTTCAGTCGATACCCGGATTCGAACCCGGGATCTTTGAATGAGAGGCGAACACCTTAATCTCAAGGCCGCGAGAGCACCCCCCCCCTCCCCTTTTCCCTTCTCGGCGAATTCTATTTCAATTCAAAAGATTTCACAGAACAACAACACATTGGGAACGTCGACTTTGTTATTAGAATTTAATTTTTAGAACTACAGAATTCTGTCCAACATTATTTTTGGACTTTTTGAGTTGCTAAGGCCATGCGGTTCTTATCTGCTCTTTCAAAAGCACAAGATTATTCTGAGTCGTTATCAAGATATTTAAAGAATTACGTTCGAAAAAGCTTCACATGTGAAACTCAACAGTTATGTTTAAATCATTTCTCAAAACAAGGTGGGCTAACTGAGCAGATAGAACTTTGTATTTCCTGGGTAACGATTTGTT